TCTTCAGCCCCTCCTTGCCCTACTCAAGCTTAAGAAGAGAAGGGGACTGAAGAGGGAGAAGAAGTAGGGTTTGACTGGCGACGGATTCTATCTGCCATTAAGGACAGTATCGTACACCCTTCTCCCAGTTCAAGTCTGCCTATACCCCATTTAGACTTAGGCTCCAATGACTCCAGCCCCCTGAACTTGAGTCAGACCTTCCAGACTCTGTCGAGGTGAAGGACCTAATGAAGCCCTTGAAAAGGATATGGGGTAACCCTCAGGTGATATAGGTCACACCCAATAGATACAACAGTGCCCCGTCCTGGTATATACTACAGTATTTATAAAAAGGAGATTATATAAATGGATTTTATAGGCACAGAGACTACATACACAGAAAAATAAGATTGTTCCTTTATTTAACATCACCTATAGACAATTTTGGATAAAATATTATTGTACAGTGCACCCGCAATGAATTAAAAATTTTAGTCTTTTTTCATTAATTTAGCAAAAAATAAAAAACCCCAGTGGTGAATAAATACCACCAAAAGAAAGCTCTAGAAAATTATAAAAATGTAGTTTGGGTACAGTGTTGCATGACCGCGCAATTGTCATTTAAAGTGCGAGAGCACTGAAAGTTGAAAATTGGCCAGGGCAGGAAGGGGGCAAAAGTGCCCGGTATGGAAGTGGTTAAGTTATTGATTAATAATGTAGTGCTGCACTTTTTTGTTTTTGTATTTTTTTTTGGTGTGGAAACACATAACAGTGCTTATCAGCAAGCCTTTTACTCACATTTTTTTTATCTTGCTTCCAGTGGTTCATTGTAAATAGTAGAACAGTGATTGCCTATTAGGAGTCATGCACACAGGGCATTTTAACCTCCTTAGCAGTAATCCCGAGTGTAGCTCAGGGTAAAATTTCTATACCAAGAGCGGTAACCCCGAGCTACACTCGGGCTTACCATGCGGTGTTGCTCTGGGGGTCCCTGCAGCACTTACCTTGTCCTTCGCTCCCGCGATGTGTCCCCTGCAGCGTCCCCGGCCATCTCCTCCGGCCGATGCCGGCATCCGGCTTCTGTGTTCCGGTCCCTGTGACGTCGGGACGTACGGGCGCCGGAACCGGTGGGAAATTTGAAATTTTTAAAAAATGTCATTTTTGCTGTCATTGCTGTTTCAATGCATTTCACATATATTTTGTCCCTACTGCTTTGTCCTGTGTCCTGCCTGCATTTTGAATGTTCTTTCTGCCTGGAAACTTAGAAAAGTCCATGGCGTCCAAAAAGCGTCCCTTTACGTCAAAAGCGGTTTTAGAACAGCGATAGTAAATCAGAACCACTTGCAGAATTGAGTGATAATGATTCGTGGGGAAATTCGTCATCAGACACTGAAAACAATTTTGCAACTTTGCTCAGCGATGTGCGAATTTGCCTCTGTATTTCAAATTTCAGTGTTTTTGGTTTGATTATATTATTGAATTAAATTTATTATTATTATATTATTATTTTTTATGATTATTTATTAAATTATAATTTATGATTTCGTGTTTCAAATTTTATCATATCCGGAATGTTTACTAGACTCTTGTTCGGACAGATTTCAGTGAGTTATTCCTAAAAATTACAGCCTACAATAAAAAACGACATATTTCCATCCAAAAAAATGGTACCGCTTTCAGCACAAAAAATCGGAAAGAATCATACCGCCAAGAAGGTTAATAACGCTGGTAACGTTAGCTGTGTAAAGCCACGTTAAAAATGGAGTTTTTTAGTGTTTTTAGCGTTTTTGCATTATCGTTTAGTAGCGTTTTGCTGCTTTTTTTGCGTTTGCGTTTCTTCCTCTGGAGGGCAAGTGGATAACCTTGTACAATCAAATTTCCATGACATCTTGGCGTGAAGAATACTCTAGAAAGAATTAGAGTCTTCCTAAACGAAACTGCTCTAATCATTCTGAAGGGGGAGGGTACAACACAGGACATAGAACAGCTGCTCCTAAAAATAGTTAGGGCTCTGAATGAACTTTAGATGTGCTAAGCGAACTGGACAGCCGTTCAGCTGCCTTTGTAGCTAAAGCAACTCTAGGAGCACATTGCCTGCATCTCACACATATGTCATGAGGTATGTTTATTTTATATAAATATTTTCATATTATACATTGCATTACCTTTTTGTTATTTTTTATATTTATGTATTAATAGATGGTTTTATGGAGAATAGGTAGAGGAAGAAGCATAAAGCTGCTGTTCATAGCAGCCATTCAAATAACATGCTTTGTTTAATAGGAAAATAACTCGGGGCTATTTTACAAACAAATTGAAAAAAGATGATTCAGATACCTACTGTGGGCAATCAAGTTTCATTTCTGAAATGCTGAAATATTCTAGATCACCAGGACTTTTTTAAGCGGGAACGCAGGGGGAATTCCGGCACGTCCAGCACTGAATGTTTGTCATGGCAAGGGGTGCTGGAGGGTCTATTGATGAAGACTGCTGGAAGATCTAATATCACTGGATGGGATCTATTTTTGAGTGGGTCTATTGTTTCTGGGGGGGGGGGTTGTTTTTGCTGGTGAGGAATCTAATGTTGCTGGGGGGGGGTCTGTAGTTGCTGGGGGTTCAATTGTTACTGGGAGAGAGATCTACTGTTGAAGGAGAGGAATATTGATGATGGTTGCTGGGAGATCTGTTGGTGCTGATGGGGGTCTACTGTTGGTGGGGTGATATCTTGTTGTGGAGGGGTCCATTGTTGTAGATGTGATCTATTGTTGTGGGGGATCAATAGTTGCTGAGTGCAAAATTCAGCACCCTTGATAATTTTCAAACCTAAGAATTGCATTAGACAGCAGAACTGAACTGACTGACTATGACAATTACAAACTCAATTTAAATCACAAATGTACTAGAACCGAATTAGCAAACGAATTTGAAAATTTAATTAATTTCCCCATGGACCCGAACTACTATCACATCATGTGACATCATCAGAAAGAAACAAATGCATTCACTTATTTCGGTACAACTTTTTCAGATTTGCTGACATTCACTATTATGTCCATTTGGATATTTTTATATTTTGAATCTCTGAAAATCAAATTTTCATTTGAAATATGATTTGTAATGAAACGCACATTTAACACTTTCTTTAACCACTTGCCGTCTAGAGGATTTAACCCCCTTCCTGACCAGGCCATTTTTTGCGTTACTTTAACTGACAATTGCGCGGTCATGCAACGCTGCACCCAAATGAAATGTACGTTCTTTTTTCCCCCATAAATAGAGCTTTCTTTTGGTGGTTTTTATTATTTCTGCTATAAACAAAACAGACCAACAATTTTGAAGAAAACACCCTATATTTTGGACTTTTTGCTATTAAACATGTCCAGTAAAAGAAATGAAAAAAAAAAACAAATTTCGTCAGAAATTTAGGCCAACATGTAATCTTCTACATGTCTTTGTTAAAAAAAAAAAACTCCAATACGTGTAAATTAACTGGTTTACGTGAACGTTATAGCGTCTACAAATGGTGGTATATATACTGGAATTTTTTTTCTATAATAGTAATGGCGGCGATCAGCGACTTATAGCAGGACTGCAATGCGCATTCTGACACTGGGGGGGACTAACTGTCGCTGACATCCCCAGTGACACTAATACATGATCAGTGCTAAGCATTGACACTGTACTAGTGACACTTGGCAGGAACGGGTTAACATTTGGGGCGATCAAAGGGTTAATTGTGTGCTGTCTTACTGTGTGTGTGTTTTACTAGGGAAACATACTGCTGTGTATTTCTCTGCTGTGCAGAGAAATACACATCAGCATTTTACTGCTGGAAGGAGAGAGACGTGTGTTGCTTACACACAGGTCTCTCTCCTGTCAGTGATACTGGGCGATCCCTGGGTGCCGGCAGAAAATCTGAAGCTGGGACCTGGTGATCAACATTTGTAGCCGCAAATGGTGGCGCGGGTAGGGCAGCACACATGCGGGTGCCCCCTATCCGGAATTGCAAAATCACGATTTTGAGCAGCCCTGTCCCCCAAGTAGTGTATTTAGATTTTGTGCTGCCCTAGGCAACACAAAAATTTAGCGCCCCTCCTCCCCCAACTCCAATAAGAGAGCGAGAGAGTTCAATAAGTGTGTGTATGTATATATATGATTCTCTCTCTGTCCCTTTCTTTCTCTTCTCTCTCTCTTCCCTTTCTCTTTCTCCCCCCTCTCTCACCCCCCTCTTTCTTTCTCCCTCTATATCTCTCTTTCTCCCTCTATCTCTCCTTCTCTCCCTCTCCCTTCCCCCCTCTTTTTTCCCCCCCTCTCTCTCCCCCCCCCCTCTCTCCCCCTCTCTTTCTCCCCCGGCTCTCCTCCCCTCTCTCTCTTCCCTCTCCACCCTCTCTCTCTCCTCCCTCTTTCTCCCTCTCTTCCTTCTCTCTCTCTCCTCCCTCCCCTCTCTCCCTTCTCTCTCTTCCCTCCTCTCTCTCCCTCTCTTCCTTCTCTCTCTCTCCCCTCCCTCTCACTCCATTTTTCTCAACACAGCTCACCTCTTCCAGGCTCTTTCCTCTCTGACACTTCTCCTCTCCCTACTCCAGACTGTCCCCTGGTCCTGGCTCGTCAGCTGCTGGAGGGAGAGGTACACGACCGTCTGCAATTGCCCCCCCACCCCCACGCCCCACCACGTCAATCTTCCTGCTGTCCGCCGCTGTTCAAAAGGTCCCTTCTTCCGGGGGGGGGGGGACGCTGCCGCCCCCCCTAAGAATTGCCGCCCTAGGCAAATGCCTTGTTTACCTCGCAGTAGATACTCCCTGCTGCCGCCCTTTAGCAGTACTTCTGCTATAGGGCATTCGGGAAACTGTTATTAAAGTGTATTTTCCAAAAAACTGTGCGTTTGAAAAACTACTGCACAGAGAAAAGTCGAAGTGTGACATAAAAATATGTGAGACTCACCATTTTATTTTTGCAGGGTCTCTAGAGAATAAATTATATATATACCTCTTAGATTGTAAGCTCCAAGGATCAGGCACTCCTAACCAGGGGCGGACAGACCATTTGGAAACTCGAGGGCCCGGGGTCAGTAGGGGGCCCCATGAGATGCCCCTGGTACCTTTTTCATAGGCTTCTTTGAGTTTGGGCAAGGACACAGGGGCCCCATGATCCCCTATTGCCGGGGGCCCCATGAGTTGTCAGTCCGCTCCTGCTCCTAACCCTCTTGTATTGAACTATATCGTTGCTGTATTGTCTCCCGTTATATTGTAAAGTGCTGAGCAAACAACGCTATATAAATCCCGTATAATAATAATATATATCACTTAATTTTTCCTTGCGCTCTGAGTAGAGAGCGGTGACTGTCAGTCACCACTGTCTGCCCTGCCTCCCCAGCGCTCACTGGATGGTTGGGCTGTGAAGGGAGCGGCTGGTTCTCTGTGGAGTGCTGAGAGGCTGAGCCAGGTGCCAATACAGACATCTGAGTGGATTTTTCCCCATTCTGGACCAGCTGAGTGGCATCAGCTGACAACAGACTTTAGCCCGCTATCGGCTGAAAATGGCTTACAGGAATACAGAATGAACTGCACTTCTGTGATCCACAGGAGAAGTACAGCCAAACGAGCTTTGGCTGTACTTCTCCTTTAAGAGATTCTACTGTGTTCAATCAGTATACTGATAATGATTATTTGTAATGTGGCGTAGCACTACCCTCTCAAGGGCTGCTGGATTTGAATGGGTCCCCCCATGCTCTGCACAGCCAGGCAACATACATTTCCCACACTGAAGTCAGTAAACAGTCCTTGAGCTTGGTTTTGTGATTTTATTACAGGGTTAAACTTGGATAGGGTCTGGGGTATATGGGATGGCAGAGGAACTGTAGAACTTGAGGGTAACTCCTTAGCAACTATGTACAAATATGTGGATACCCCTGCTAAGGTAGTTGCCAGTTGATCCAACAACCCATTATTCCTGCCATAGGGTGGGGATGGCATTCAGTTTATTTATAGTCCACACAGAACTTGATTGTCTGACCCCTTTTGGGGACAGGACTACTGGTGAAGCCAAGGGCCTGCTGCACTCCTGAATGACCCCTAACTGCAGCATTCCCTCAATCTCTTTTGCCCTGTCTATCTGCACCTACAGTAGAACCAGATGGGATGACTGTTTGAGAGGAGGATGCACCCTGAGGCCCACCTCTGAACTGCAAGGTGTGCCCCCACAGGACCAGACATAGGGGATGATTTACTAAAACCCGAAAGTGCAAAATCTGGCACACCTCTGCATAGAAACCAATCAGCTTCCAGTTTATTATGTCAAAGATTAATTGAACAAACTGATTGGCTGCTATGCACAGCTGCACTAGATTTTGCACTCTCCAGTTTTAGCAAATTAACCCCATAATGTACTACAAGCAGAAGCAACAGCTGGGGTACCTGGGTGGAAGAGAGGTGTGATTTGAGCTGAAAGTTTATGCCCACTTCATGAGTGTTGGCTAACACATCTACCAGGGAATTTAGCCCTTCTAATTTGGGCATACTGCAAACTGCCATGACGTGAGTGTGCATGTGTGTGAATCAAGCTAGGTCAGAAACCACTCAGTGTCACTTGAGCCATGACCATAATGATTTCCCAGTTGCCTACTAGGAAAATATTATGTGACACCTTCAATACATACAGTATCTCCTAGATTGTAAGCTCTAAGAAGCAGGGCCCTCAAATCCCTCTTGTATTGAACTGTATCGTTGGTGTATTGTCTCCCGTTATATTGTGAAGCGCTGAGCAAACTGTTGGTGCTATATATATCCTGTATAATAATAATAATAATATCTCCTAACTTGGCTGGACACAATGAGCAGCTGTTTAACTTTTTCTGCTTCTTCCTGCGGGTAGACATTTCAAGTTTAGCATCTCATTGAACCAGTTCCTTTTTTCAACAAGGAAGCTAAAATACGGACTGCTGAGCTCTGCAAAGCTGTGGTCAGTCAGCAGTGCTGGCTGAGAGGTGGCCTATAAGTACTAGCCTGTTGTCCTGTGGTGCTAAGGTGCAACTGAGGCTGGCTCCTCTGGGCCAGAGTAAGGAAATGGGCCATCAGTACCATTTCCCTGCTTTGCAACCAAAGACTACACCTCTGCCACCTTTGCAGGACTGTAAGTGACCTTCAATAATCTCAAGATGCAATCGTATTCAGCAGTTACCATCGCAACATCAGTTAAACATGTATTGGATACCTATACATGGACAGGGTCTCCTCTCCTGCCCTAGGAGATGGAGAACACTGTTATTTTACTCCACCCTCCTCCTCCTGTCTGTCCATCTGCATGACTTGACAGTACTTTGTCATTTGCATATAGTGGACAAACCGCAGCATTCACATGTGAAAGCAGCATACACACTTCTCCCGTTGACCATCTTTACAGTCTGTCCCCTTCCTAGGGGCATTAGTACTTACTCAGAGGGCTCTGGCCGGGCCTTGGGCTACCTGTGTCCAGCTGATGACCCTCTACTTGTCATTCCAGAGAAAGGAACACTGCTGCAGTACACGTCTCCTAGATCCTCCAGGGGGATAGACTCACTTCAGAGAATACTTGGCCTGGTCAGAAAGGCCTTTTGCAACCCACTCTACCCTCCGCCTCAATAAGAGACAGGATGACTGCAACTGGCTCTTCTGGGTGCAGAACTATCACTCCCTGTCCTCTGGGCCCCTGCACCAAGTGACTACATCTGTACAATGTGGGGTATCTTGATTGTTTCCCCCATCTGTACTAAGGCTCCTCCCAAGCTAGCTAATATATGAGCATGGAGCAGGGGCTTAAAATTGGGCATGGATAAAACGGGTGTGGGTAAATAGTCTCTGAGATTACTTAAATAGTGCCGAATGTGATTATGGTAAATAGGGAATGTACAGCGCGGAGCATATGACGGTGGGTAGTATGTGCAGGGTGAGGAGTGTGGAGTGTATGGTGGTGGGTAGTATGTGCAGGATGGTGTCAGTAAGGCAGTGGTGTCAGTAGTTCTTTATTTTTATTATTATTATTTTTTTACAATTTTGTGATTTTTTTACAGTTTAATGTTTTATTATTTTTTATCATTTTTTCAAAATGTTTTTGGGTGGCCAGTGGATGGTGTCAGTAAAGCAATGGAGTGGGTGTCAGAAGTTTTTTTTATTTTTTTTATTTAATTTTTTAATTATATTTTACATTTTATTTTTGTATTATTTTTTCACAATGATTTTGTGGGGGCAGTGGAAAGTATCAGTAGGGAGTGAACAGGGAGCACTAGTATATATTGGTCTATCATTAGATTGGGATGAATAAACAGAACCTGTACCCTCTTATATCACAATCCCTCTTACATCAGATGTCCCCACATGGGACCAACTACTACCATAGGCTGATGACACAAAACTAAACTTCTTTGGCTGCACTCATGAATGCTGTTGCTGGAGGACAAAATAGGAAAGAGGAAGAGAGGAGGGAGAGAGATTTGGGGAAGGAAGGGAATGGATGGAGGAAGGGAAGCAAGAGGGGAAGGGAAGGGAAGGAAGGAAGGAAGGAAGGGGATGGAGGAAGGAAGAAAGGAAGGGAAGGAAGGGGATGGAGGAAGGAAGAAAGGAAGAGAGGAAGGGAAGGAAGGGGATGGAGGTAGGAAGAGAAGGAAGGATGGGGATGGAGGAAGGAAGGAATAAATGAAGGAAGGGGAGGGAGGGAGGGAGGTAAGGAAGGAAAGGAGGGGATGGAGGAAAAATAATGAAGAGAGAGGATGGAGGAAGAAAGGAAGGAAAGGAGGAGAGGAAGGAAGGAAAGAAGGAAAGGGAGGGGATGGAGGAAGGAAGGAAGGAAAGGGAAGGAAGGAAGGAAGGAAGGAAGGAAGGGAGGGAGGGAGGGAGGGAAAGATGGGAGGAAGAGAGAGATAGATTTGGGGGCAGGAAGGAAAGAAAGAGAGGAAGGAAGAAAGGGAAGGGAGTGGATGAAAGATGGAATGAAGGAGGGGGTGAGGATGGAAAAAAGGAAGGAGGGGAGGGAGTGGATGGAGGAAGGGAAGGAAGGAAAGAAAAGGGAGGAGAGGAAGGAAGGAAAGAGAAAAGAAAGGAAGAAAAGGGAGGGAGGAGAGGAAGGAAGGAAAGGAGGGGATGGAGAAAGAAAGGAAGGAAAGAAGAAAGGTAGGAAGGAAAAGAGGGGAGGGAGGAAGGAAAGGAGGGGAGGGAGGAAAGAAGGAAGGAAGGAAAGGAAGGGAGGGAAGGAAGAAAGGGAGGGGATGGAGGAAGGAAGGGAAGGAAGAAAATCACTAGGAGGTAATCTGCCAATTCTGTGGCTGCTTGGCAGATTCTGGCTTCTGCTCTAACACAACCTGTCTGATAAAATACATGAATAGGTAGGCGCTATAACAATTGCATATAATAAATTATTAAAAAACATATGAATAATGCAGTGAACTCTCTACATCATCTTCCAGATGATGTTCCTATACAAAAAATAATATATGGTGAACATTGTAGTGACAGTCCCATGATGATATAGTCCCATAGACCGAAAATGTGCTCTTTCACCACGTGCAGGCAATAAGTGAATGGCTCACTCACCAGAAAAAATAGACCCCGGTTAAGGTGGTGAGATAGGCTTTGTTATCATTGAAATCAAGGATAGCTGTCCCCTGGTTGGATCTATTGGATCCTTTTCCCCTACTAGGAGACTAGGAGGTTTGATTTAGGAGATCCTGTTGTTGGTTGTCCACATCTATGATAACAAAGCCTATCTGATCACCTTAACTGTGGTCTATTTTTTCTGGTGAGCTATTCATTTATTGCCTGCACGTGATGAAGGAGCACATTTTCGGTCTAAGGGACTTTATCTTCATGGGACTGTCACTATAATGTTTACTATATATTGTTTTTTTTGCATAGGAACATCATCTGGAAGATGATGTAGAGAGTTCACTGCATTATTCATATTTAGTTTTTTAATAATTTATTATATGCAATTGTTATAGCGCCTACCTATTCACGTATTTTATTGTTTAAGTGTATCACTTTTTAGGGGCAGCTGACAACTTTGTTGCCTGGTTTAATGCGGGCAACACATTTTATAGTTTCGTTATTTAGGTGCCACAATATTCTAAATATTCAAACAACCTGTCTAATGTTTGCAGGACAGATATATTGCGGATCCTCCAGTGACTCAAAGGAACTCTACTTTTACGGCTCCACTGCCAGGATGTGGTGTGTAGGTGATCTACCATATCTGAGTCTGCAGGTCACTTCTGCGGAGACCTAAATCTCTTACAGGACACTTCTTGTGTTAATTGATACTTCTTGATTATTGCATCCTTTATGACCTCATGATAGTTATCCTGCTTGATTGGCAATCCATGTAGATATCCAGCACTTTTGCCCTGGCGTCAGGTACCAGGCCCACTGTGTTTGTAGCAGATAGTACTGATGGCACATTTTTTCAAAGGATAGCAAATAAATATCAATGTCACTATCTTTTTTCCATTACCAAAAATTTGGTTGCCTGGAAAAAGATGCTTCATGTGCTCTAGGGAGCTTAGGTGCTGATGCTGTTGCTGCTGCTGGAGCTTGGCTAACTCCAGTTCATGTCAATGGTCAGCTTCCCTCTTTCTCAGCCACAGCTCTGTATTCCACAGCCTCTCTCTTAGCCCGGAGTTTGTGGCCTCTCTTTCAACCCGGTGCTGCAGCTAGGCCATAGGATCCAAACTCAATATCCATTGTTGTGTTTCCTGCATCTGAGGGGAGTCAGTGCTGTATATAGAGTCTGGTGCTGGCACATTCACGCTGTGGATTGGAGATTGCATTTGTTGGTGCCTCATTATCATCACAGATGGCACGAAGTACCCATATGGAAGAAAAATATATTTGAAATACTACAATTTTGATTATATTCAATATATTTCAATAAATATATATATACACTATATCTTGAAAAGCGTTTTTTATTACAAAATATATGAAAAATATTTTTAAAAATACATTTCAAATATACTGTATGTCTTTAAAAATACACATCTACATTTTTGGAATGTATTTACAAATATATGTAAACATATATCCTAGATTGTAAGCTCCAAGGAGCAAGGCCCTCCTATCCCTCTTGTATTGAACTGTATTGTTGCTGTATTGTCTCCCATTATATTGTAAAGCGCTGCGCTGTTGGCGCTATATAAATCCTGTATAATAATAATAATAATAATATATGTTAAAATGACTTTTTTATATGTTAAAAAAATCTGAAGAATATATTTAAAAAAAAAATAAATTTAAATATATTTTTTAAAATATATTCTTTAGATTTTTTTTAACATATAAAAAAGTCATTTTAACATATATTTTTACATATATTTGTAAATGCATTCCAAAAATGTAGATTTCTATTTTTAAAGACGTACAATATATTTGAAAATGTATTGTTAAAAATATTTTTCATATATTTTGTAATAAAAACGCATTTTAACATACAGTGTGTATATATATATATATGTACAAAACATTTTTATTGAAATATATTGAATATGGCCAAAATTGTAGTATTTCAAATATTTGTCAATGTATTTTGGACGAATATTTTAAAAATGTAAAAATTTATTTCAAATATATTTTTCTTCCATGTGGGCATCCCTGACATTTCCTTGGATACTTAGCACCCTCTAGTGGCCAAATGCTGTATTTTCCTTGGAATAAATGAAAAGCATTCAACTAGCAGGAGTGCACATGAACTTTTACTGAATAAATTGCTATGCAATATTTTTAAAACTACATATGCCTGAGTGCTATTTATATTTGTCTTCTTGCTGTGCATAATTTAACCTGAAAGAGAACTGGCCTTGGACCATACCTCCCAACTTTTGAGATGGGAAAGAGGGACACCTACTAGCAAAGGTAGGCATAGGACACACACCTCTGCCACACCCCCTTAACCACTTGCTGACCACAGATAGCCGAATGACGGCTTCACTGTGGCCGGCCAGTTCTGGGAGGGCGTCATATGACATCCTCCCAGAACGCGTACTCCCGTGCACCTGGCAATCTCTGTGATTGCTGTGTCCTATGGACACAGCTGATCACGTGATGTGGTAAAAGGCCAATCACAGTGGCCTTTTACCACATGATCAGCCGTGTCCAATGACACAGCAGATCATCGGTAAATGCAGTTGCCGCTTTTCGGCTGCACTTTCCTCACACTGTCACAGTATGAGGAAAGTACTGCCGATAACCGGCAATTGTCAGAGGAGGGATCGGCACTGATGATCAGTGCCCAGCAGTGACACCCACCAGTGCCCAGCAGTGCCACTCACCTGTGCCTGTCAGTGCCACCCAACTGTGCCCATCAGTGCCACCCACCTGTGCCCAGCAGTGCCGCCCATCAGTGCTGCCCAGCAATGCCACCCATCAGTGCCCAGCAGTGCCGCCAGTCAGTGCCCAGCAGTGCCGCCAGTCAGTGCCACCCATCAGTGCCGCCAGTCAGTGCTCATCAGTGCCGCTTATCAATGCCCAGCATTGTTGTATATCAGTGCCAGCTCATCAGTGCCACCTATCAGTGCCCATCAGTGTTGCCTACCAGTGCCCATCATTGTTGCATATCAGTGCCGACCATCAGTGCTGCCCAGCAGTGCCATCATCTGTGCCCAGCAGTGCCACCCACAAGTGCCCAGTAGTGCCACTCACCTGTGCCTGTCAGTGCCACCCAACTGTGCCCAGCAGTGCCACCCACCTGTGCCCAGCAGTGCCACTCACCTGTTCCTGTCAGTGCCACCCAACTGTGCCCATCAGTGCCACCCACCTGTGCCCAGCAGTGCCGCCCATCAGTGCTGCCCAGCAATGCCACCCATCAGTGCCCAGCAGTGCCGCCAGTCAGTGCCCAGCAGTGCCGCCAGTCAGTGCCACCCATCAGTGCCGCCAGTCAGTGCCACCCATCAGTGCCACCAGTCAGTGCTCATCAGTGCTGCTTATCAATGCCCAGCATTGTTGTATATCAGTGCCAGCTCATCAGTGCCACCTATCAGTGCCCATCAGTGCTGCCTATCAGTGCCCATCATTGTTGCATATCAGTGCCGCCCATCAGTGCTGCCCAGCAGTGCCACCCATCAGTGCCCATCAGTGCCACCAGTCAGTGGCACCCATCAGTGCCGCCAGTCAGGGCTCATCAGTACCACTTATCAGTGCCCATCATTGTTGCATATCAGTGCCAGCTCATCATTGCCGCCTATCAGTGCCCATCATTGTTGCCTATCAGTGCCAACTCATCAGTGCTGCCTATCAGTGCCCATCAGTGCTGCCTATCAGTGCAGCCTCATGAATGTACATCAGTGAAGAAGAAAAATTACCTGTTTGCAAAATTTTTATAATAGAAACAATGACAAAAATTTTTTTTCAAAAATTTTTGTTCCTTTTTAGTTTATAGCGCAAAAAATAAAACACCCAGCGGCGAGTACATACCACTAAAAGAAAGCTCTATTTATGTGAAAAAAAATGATAAAAATTTCATACGGGTACAATTTTGCATGACTGCGCAATTGTTACTCAAAGTGCGACAACGCTGAAAGATGAAAATTGGCCTGGGCAGGAAGGGGGTATAAGTGCCTGGTAGGCAAGGGATTACAGGAGCATTCTACAAAAAGAATATTATTTAAACCCACAAGTGCTTTTTTTTTTACCCCTACTTTTTTTTTTTGGCTTTTGAAATTTACAAATTCAGCAATTTAGAATTTGGATGAAAGGTTTAGCACTGTGAAATACTTTTCAAAAGTTAAATAGTGCATTTTATATACAACTATACAGATCAGACCAAAATGAGGGACAAATGAAGAAGAAAAAAATCAGGGACAGCCCTTTGAAATCAGGGACAATTCGGAGCTATGTTGGACCATGGAGGAGGACACATGGGACAGGGCTGGAAATGGTGAGTACTACTTAGCAAGGAGTTTTTTTAATGCAGAAGCAAAATAAACAAACCACTAGTCGCTAAATCCCACAGTCAACATGGGGTAAACAAGGCAAAAAAAGCGGGGGTTGGTCCCACAGCTGCTCCGATGACCATTAGGAGTATGATGTGATATTGATAAGACCAAGAAAACCAGAGTGTTCATGGTGAAAGCCAGAGTGATGATGCAATGACATACACAACCAACAGTCAATATGTCCGATTCCAATGTTTTAACAGATCGATAAAATCATAATTACCATATTCCAAGAGTTCCATGTGGTAGTATGGCACAAATGGAAAGACTACTACCACATGGAACTCTTGGAATATCGCGAATATGGTTTTATCGATCTATTAAAACATTGGAATCAGACATATCGAATGATGGTTGTGTATGTCATCATCACTCTGGCTTTCACTACGAGCTCTCTGTTTTAATTAGTCTTATCAATATCACATCATACTCCTAATGGTCATCGAAGCAGCTGTGGGACCATGGAACCAGCCTCCCCCCTTCTTTTTGCCTTGTTTACCCCATGTTGGTTGTGGGGATTTAGCGCCTAGTGGTTTGTTTATTTTACTTCTACATAAAAAACCTCTTGCCAAGTAGAACTCACCATTTCCAGCCCTGTCCCATGCATCCTCCTCCATGGTCCAACATAGCTCCGAACTGTCCCCGATTTCGAGGGACTGTCTCTGATTTTTTTTTCTTCTTCAAAAAATCACAAAATCACAGCCCAAATAGTGCAAATATAAATATCCAAAATTCCAATATATAAAACAATATCCTCCACAATTATTATAATAGTCACAAATATAAAGTCACTCAATAAATTCAAAGAAAAAAATCTTCATGTTGATAAACTTCCAAAGTGACTCCTGAGACCAATAAGAACCTCAAAAAAAAGAAAAACTCACATAGTGCATTATCCTTAGTAACTTGAATATAATTAACTAAATAAACCAATGTGATACACTCGCAAAAAATAAAAAACACAACTGATCACTATTAGTGAAAAAGTGAATACTGTGTAAAACGTGACAGTGAAAACAGTTTGGTGAAAAATCAATGCAAGAGCAAAACCGTGAAGAAAACTGTGTCCACTTCTATAGTGTACAGATTAAATATCCTTACCAAATAAATAAACCACAGGGCTTGTAATCATCTAGGCAGGATGATGTCATACAATATGCTCCACCAAAGAGATCCTCACAGCCACATAGATGTACTCCTCTTTTAAACACCAGTCTCCACGCTCCAAACGATGCCCACCATATATAAAATGAATTATAGTGTAAATTCATATACCATCAATTAACTGACAGCCAGACCTCTGGAGATCCTCTGATATCCTTCTCATGTGTTTTAGAGGAAAACTGCCAGGATCCAAAATGGCCGCTCGGTCACTTCCAGTTCAGCTGTGCATCTGATGTCACTTCCCTTGATGCATTTCGTCATTGGACTTATTCATAAGGGATATAAACTTATTTTGGGTGGTATGACAACCAGCTCCTGTCAGTCCAGGGATGGAGTTTACCTGCCACCTGGATTGTGACTGTCAGGAATGGACTTGCCAATGGTGGTGGGACTCACCTGCCTTGTGGGCTTCAGTACCAGGGCTGGCCAGCGGGTGCTCTCAGCAACCAGAAGCTCACTCCTGCAATCAGCCATCACCTGAGGCTGATTGCAGGAGGTGTATTTAAGGAATGGCCAGACCTGCAGTCAGTGCCTTGGTGTTTGTTTCCCATGTGCCCTGTTTCCTGTATCCTGTCTCCTGCCTGCTCGACTCTCCTGCTTGACTCTGACTCTGATAGAACTCCGCCTGCACTGACCTCGGCTATTCCTGACCATTCTTCTGCCTGCTCCCATTGTACCTTTCTGCCTGATTGTTCCTGACCCGGCCTGCCTGACCACTCCACCTCTCCATCCCTGACTGCACCTGTACCTATTAGTTTAAGGTTTGTTTTGTTTTGCACTGTGTTTGTTTATTTTGTGCAGCTCATAATAAATATTATTATTATTTAATCATTTCTGACGCCTGCTGTTTCCCTGTGTCAGTCCACACATCTCTGGTCATACCTGGATCCGTGACAGTGACGTTTCATAAGATAAACTAGTGGCAGCGATAAGCCTCTAGCAGTGCGCAAAGGGTTAAGCAATGGCAAGTCTGACAAGACCCAGTGTGGTCTTACAGCTAGCTAGCAGGTTAAATTTGTTGTTGGACTGTGATTAGACTTATGCAGGCCATGCATGGATCGAATTCCGAACAAATTTTGTTTAGAAAATCAGAAATTTTGTGCCACCATTGTTTTAAAAATTTGACCAACAAAGCCTTCAATTTCTCCTCATGTTGCTAAAGAAAATTATTTTCGTGGCCAAGAATTTTCTTTTCTTTCCAGGTCACAGCTTTATATTTCTTGCACGATTCTTCCATCATTGCTTCGAATTTAGTTTGTTTTTCAAAAAATTCCAACATGCCTGATCACTCAAATTCGATGGTCACATGAATATCAGCCATTTCTGTGACCCACTAATGGTGCGAAATTTGAACGAAAATTCTTAGAAAAGATTTTCAAAAGAAAATTCTTTCAGAATTCGACGCATGTATGGTCGGCTTTAGGGCTCTTTCACACAGAGTCTCTCCACTCTGATCAGCAGGCGACCTGTGAATGCTAATTGGGACAGGTCAGTTTTTTGACATGGGGAGGAGGTTGCACATATGCAGCGCCCACATTTCTTTGCATTGCACACATCAAATATTATCCCTGCTGCATGGGGGTGCCCAGCAACTGTGTGTAATGCTGGTGCAGGGTTAAAGAGGTTAAAACAGGTGGTGAGGGGGCTATATACTGCCTGTCAAATGCCTTCTGAAGATCTCTGAAATAGGGATTGTTCTTCAGTAGTCAATACAAGTGTAAATAAATCTTTAAAATAGATCTCAATATTCACTGAGAGTATTCTTTTGACTCTACAGATTGCATCATCATTCACCTTTAATTATGGTTGAACTGGATGGACTTTTGTCTTTTTTCAGCCAGACTAACTATGTAACTTGCAGAGTATTCTATAAATTGTGAATAGTGTACATGTGCCAAAAATATCTAATTGTAAATACAAGTTTTAATGGTGGATTCACTTTAACCACTTGCCAACCAGCCAATAGTAATTTTACTGCTGGATAGCGGTTCCCCTGGGCACCGTGGCGTACCTGTACATCACTGGGACCTTGCTTGTGTACAGGCAGGCGCCCCCCCAATGCTTGTGCTGGGGTTTGGCACAGCACGAGTTTGTCAGCATGCTCAGAGTCAAGGATTTTGGCTGTGAAACTGCGAAAGACTGTGGACCAACCATAGCATGTTTGTAAACACAGCACACAGATCTGACTCTCTCTTTCTCCCTGATATCACATACTGTTCAGAGTTGAGTTCGGGGAGAAATGCCTGCCAGATCTGTGAGTAAAATGAGCACACATACACTTGTTATTCACATAGTTATCCCCCTGACTTTCCTCCTGATCACCCCGTCACCCAACCAATGTGTCACAGTCAGGGGTCTGGCTTGATGACCAGCAGCTATAGCAACTCCCACCAACCAGCAGGATAGGTATACAAGCAGGTCACCCTGGCAGATGATGGGGGCTCACCTGAGGCGTGGGGTCTAAGCACTTACTGGTATTCACCAGAGCTCCTGATGGTGCAGATGGGTTTTGCTGCGCGTCAGCACCAGGTTGTGGCCCTCAGGATTGCCCCACTAGGAGGTGAGCAAGCCATGGTCCAGTAGCAGATATAGCAGGTAGGGATCAAACAGAAGCATAGACAGTAAACAAACCAAAAGTTGGTAACAAGTGGTTGCAGGTTGGGATCAAGCAGTACAGTGGCTAAATGGTTAGCACTTCCGCCTGGCAGTACTAGGGTCGCTGGTTCAAATCACAACCTTGGCACCACCTGCCTGGAGTTTGCATGTTCTCCCTGTGACTGCGTGGGTTTCCTATGGGTACTCCAGTTTCTTCCCACACTCCAAAGACATGCTGGTAGGTTAATTGGCTCCTGTCTAAATTGGCTCTAGTATGTGTATGTATGAATGTGAGATAGGGACTTTAGATTGTACG